CTATATTGCCCCACAAAATTCAGCTGTTCCTTTGGCTTACAGGCAGTCTTCTGGAGGTGAAGCTGTCTGCATTTAGTTGGGCTGATCTTTTAACTGCAGACAAGCAATCCAGTGCTAATGATACAGAAAGCTTTCCCTTTTGTCTGAAAGTAGTATGTATGATAGTTTTATGTCCTGGCAATTTAAATTTATCCTTTACCTGAAAGGTATTTAATCTATTTACACAGTGACGTTATACTAATTGTGCCCTTTCAAATAAAGTCACATCAAGTTAACAGGTCTTTACTGAGTGCGTACTGTCTACCAGGCCCTGTGTGCTAGGGATCCAAAGAAAAACAAAGACAATTCCTGTTCTCAAGGAACTCATGCCGAATGCTAACAACTATGTACAACAAGCTATAGACAGAGTAAACTGGAAATCCTCTCAGAGAGAAGACACTAGAATTAAGGCGGATTGGGAAAGGCTTCCTGTAGGAGATGGGATTTTAGCTTTGATTTAAAAGAACCCAGGGGGGCAGCTAAGTGGTGCAGTGGATAGAGCACCAGCCCTGGAGTCAGGAGGACCTGAGTTCAAAATCTGGCCTCAGACACACACCACTCACTAGCTGTGTGACCCTGGGCAAGTCACTTAACCCCAATTGCCTCACCAAAAAAAAACAAAACAAAAACCAGGGAAGCCAGGAGGCAGAGCTGAGGATAGAGAGCATTCCAGGCATGGAGCACATTCAGTGAAAATGCCCAGAGCTGGCAGACAGGGTGTCCAGGATGCTTAGGGTTGTGGATTGAGTACTCTATCAGTAATGCCCAGGGATCTTCACTTTGAAGTTTTCTTCCTTCATCTGAACAGTAGCTTAAAGACAGGAGACTAGGTTTTTAGAGCACAGAGTTGTTTTGTTTAGAGTGTTTCATTAAAGTCTAATCAATTTGGTCACTCTTCATTGTCCCCAGCCCCATTTTCTCTCCACAGGCTATTTTCACAGCCAGATATCATAGAATCTGTAGCTTAATATGTTTTTTACTAAATGGGCCTCCCTGAGTCATAGTAAAGAATTGTCTGACACCAGCAGAATAGACACACTGACTGGCCTTTATAATTTCCCGTGAAATGACTGATCTGTAAAGCCCCACAGCACCTGCAAAATAACAAAGAAAAATGTTAGTTTCACATTTTACGTTATTTCTTATGAATTTTTAAGCACATCAACCTGATCATGTTTCACTAGCTGGAAAAGAGGTTCCAAAAGGGTCAATGGATAGATTTCACAAGGTCAATGAACTTAGATGGGGAAGATTACACCTTAATTTTCACTAATCTTTAGTTTCCTTTGTAATCCCATGTGTTGTATGTTATGCATATACAAACATTGTTCTCAGAAGGGGTCTGTAGGCTTTTCCAGACTGCCAAAGGGATCCAGGACACAGAAAAGTTTCAGAACCCCTGCTCTAGAATCTTCCCCACGCAATTCACAGAATTTCAGAGTTGGAAGGACCTTCAGAGGCCATTTGATCCAGGAATCTTCCCCAGCATATCTGACAAGTGATCCCCTAAATTCTACTTGAAGACCTCCAGTGACATAGAACTCATTATCTCTCGAGTCCACCTCACATTGGGAAATTTTTCCTTACAGAGAACCGAAACCTGCCTCTTTATACACCTCCTGCCTAATATTTCTAGTTCTGTCCCCCAGAGCTGAGCAAAACAAATCTGATTCCTATTCTCTGTGACAGTTTGTCAAATGATTGAAGGTATCTGTGTTGACCCTCCATGCCATCTCCTCTCTAGGTTAAATATTTCCAGTCCCTTCAACCCATCCTCATCCCATGTATGGCATGGTATCTATAGTTCTCCTCAATGTCCTGGTCACTGTCCTCCAAACACACTCCACCATGTTTATAGGCCCCCTAAAATGTGGCATCAGGAACTGAACACAGTGTGCCAGATGTTGTCTGACTAAGGCACGGACAAATGAAGCTATAATCTCTTTTGTTCTGGAGAATGTTTCTATTAGGGAAGCCTAAGATCAAATTAGTAAAAAGGAAAAAAATTAATTATTTTGTTTCCACAAGACTTTTGACTCATTCAGTTTGCTCTCCACTAAAATCTGACATCAGCTGTTGCCTAACTTCATCTCCATTTTCATCTACCCCATCCTACACTTGTGATCCCATTTTGTTTTGTTTTGTTCTTTTAAACCCACAATCTCAAATATAAAGCTTTATAAAATCTTGTATCATTTGATCTGGTTCATCATTCTAGATATTTTTGGATTCTAATTTTGTTGTTCAAAGTATTAGGTGTCTCTCCAAGCTTTGTGTCATTTGTGAAAATTTGATGTTAGATGTCATCTAAGCAGTGAATAACACATGGCCAAAGATAGAGTACTGTAGCATTCCACTAGAGACATCCTCCCAGGTTGATATTAATTGCCATTTTGGGGGTCCATTCATTGAACCATCTCTGATCCCAGCCTATGTATTTTTTCCTTGTCCGTGATGATATGAGATTTTTTGTCAAATGCCTATATATCAGACTATAATATAGCTGTGACATTCCCCTGATATAATGGTTCTTAAACTTTTTGGTCTCAGGACCCCCTTACATTCTTAAAAATTACTGAGGACTTTCCCACCAAGAGCTTTTGTTTATATGAGTTATATTGATCAATATCTACATTATTACAAAGTAAAATGTCTTATTATTATTATGAAAATAGTTTTGACTGTGAGGACTCCATGAAAGGGTCTCGGTATAGGGGAGTCCCTGGACCACACTTTGAGAACCACCACTAATACAGTAACCCTGTCCCAAAAAGGAAATGGGATTAGGCTAGTAGGATTTGTTTTCTATGAATCCATGCTGGCTAATGGTGATCATTGCTTCCTTTTCACTTATGGCAGATGTGGCAGCTTTTTTGTTCTTTTTTTCTGGACACCAGACACCTGACTCTTGGGGGTGTTGAAATGCTTAGCTCAGACCCCAGAGAATGTAGGACTGGATAATAAGCCCATCACACTGTTAACCCCTCAAACCAGTAACCTTAGCAAACTCCAAATCTCATAGTTACATGATTTTCTCAGATGATGCAAACTTTGTACACTGGTTTTTTTGGGAAGGGCTGCTAATATACATATAGGATGCTGGAGCTGGAAGGATCCTTAGATTTCATGTATTCTAAACCCCTCATTTTATAGATGAGAATCCATAGAAGCTAAATGGCTTGCCCGAGGTCACTAATAAGTATTAGAACGAAGTTTTGAACCCTGCTCTTCTGATTCCTAACCCAGTGCTTCAAACTGTATCTTTTCAATGGCAGTCTGAGGACCACCTCTCAATTTTTTTCTTCCTTGAACTGAATAAAAATTGTTTGCCTGAAATTCCCAAAATGCACCATGGTGAAAGGTGAATTTTTTGCAATTTGTTTGCTTAGGACAGCATACAAGTATTTTAATAGAAAACCATGTTTTTGAAGCAGGTAGTGTCACAGCTTCACTTTAGAGCATAAACCTGAAGGGTTAGTATGAAGATGAACTGCTACTTTTGGAAACTGACTTCCAATAAAAGGATTAATTTCCTGAATCAAGTATTGTGATTCTGTAGATTAGATTTGAAAGGTTCATACTCTCATAGATTTGGAGTCTGTGGAGTCCAAGCTTTTCACTTTACAGCTAAGTGGTACAGTAGTTAAGACTGCTGGATTTGGAGTTAGGAATACCTGAATTATGTGGGGCAGATAATTGGCAACTCGAATAAAGTACTGAGCCTAAAGTCAAGAAGACTGATCTTCTTGATGTGTGACTATGGGCAAGTCACTTAATCCTGTTTGCCTTAGTTTCTTCACTTGTAAAGTGAGTTGGAGAAGGAAATGGCAAACCACTCTAGTGTCTTTGCCAAGAAAACCCCAAATGGGGTCACAGAGTCTGAAACTGTGATCTGAAAATGACTGATCAAAAACAGCAATACCTGAATTCAAATACTGGCTCAGGTACTTATTAGCCTTGTGACTCTGGGCAAGTCACTCAGCGTTAGTTTTGTCATCTATAAAATGGGGACTAACAATAGCACCTACCCTCCATAGTTCTTGCAAGGAGAAAATGAGCTGACATGTGTTAAGCATTTTGCAAACCTTAAAGAGCTATATAAGGACTAGCTCTCATTTTACAAATGAGGAAACTGAGGTTGAGAGGTTAAGCAATTTTGCTCAGAGTCACACAGCTAGTAAGTGTCTGAGGCAAGATTTGAACTCCAGTCTTACCGTGTCCAAGCCCAGCACTCTATCCACTATATCACGTAACTGCCTCATTCAGTGATTCATACAATGACCGTTAGCCAAAAATCTGCTCTTGGAAAATAAGAGCAAAGGGTTTGATAGATGTGCCCAAGGCATTTTGACCAAAGCTGACATTTATTGCCCTGCAAAGAGAAAGAAACAGAGAGAAGCATGTTAAACACACACACGCACACACAGACACACACACACACACACACCCCCCACACACCCTAAAAGTACAAATAACTAAGCAGATTCCATGCTATTTTGCTTTTTAAAAAAATCCTATTTCCAAACACTGCATTTAACACAAATAGGGCCCTTTATCCAGGGCACCACACTTTTTAGCCCTCTGACAAGTTGTTAGATATTCCAGTCTGCAGGTGTCTCACATACACAGCATTACTCAGAATCAGAAAGAAAGCAGAGGAGGGGGTTAGAAGTTCTGTCTCTCAACCAACCACATCCAGGCTATTCATTTTATACGTCTTCATGCTAATGAAGGTCTTGGCTGGGGATGGGTCATATTTTCCTACCTCACCCTAAGACAGCAAAGTTTGTATATGGCTCAGTGCTAGGCTTCCCTGACCACAGCAGGGACTCTCTGCAAGAGTCCAAACAATATTAGACAGGAAGCCACAACAACCAGGTGTGCATCAGACCTGTAAACGTTTCCCTCTTACCTACCTGTTTGTTGTTTTTTTTCCCTGTTCTTACATTTTCCCAAACCAGCCAGCGTGGAGGCAAGACATCTCAAAGCAGAGATGGGAACCGAAAGAGCTCTTGTGCTGGACAGATTAGCAACCAACGTGGCCAAACGAAAAAGCTCGATGCCCCAGAAATTTATTGGTAAGAATACAAGCCCTTTGCCTGCTGCTGTTAGCAGATCCATCTGAAGGAGATAACCCAGAGTACATGTTACACAAGGGCCATCCTGGCCCAGTCTAGGTTTAAATAAGTAATTCATTTCTTATTATATTATCTTCTTATTTCATTCTAGCTTATTTTTTATTCTAAAAGGTCATTTTGATGCATGGAGCCATTAGGATGAATTTAATTGACTAAAGAAGGACAAATAAAGATTATGCAAATATTTAGAATTCCTACTTAATAAATAGAATTTTATTTTTTATAAAAAAATTATAGTTTCTTCCTTGTGTGACATGTATTGAATAGAAGAATTTTTTTTTTACCTTCCCTTATTTTTGTGTCAGGATAGCATTATGGTCAGCCTTTTCATGTTTTTCTACTTAAAGCTCTTTGGTGCTCCAATTGATTTCATGCTTTGAAAAATATTGCCATTTTTTCCTAGAATGAGCCAAGGATTGACTTTGAAGAGAGAGTGCCTGAAAAACAAACATCTTAAATAGCAAGATTTGATGGAAATGTTTTGGTTGCTGGAGTTAATTTTTATGTCATTGGCTTTCACCTTGTTAGAAAATGGTGCAAAATGAGATGACTAAAAAACAGTTATGTTTCTTAAAATGTTTCAACTGTTGAGGACCATCAACATTTTGATAAATTCTCCCAGATGTTTGCATGCATGTGACCATGATAATTAAAGGAGATTTATTTTTGTGAAGTGGACAGCTGAAATGAATGCATTAGGTTTACTTATAAATTGGTTTCAAGGCACTGATGTCTAACAAAAATAGTTATCCAAATCAAAATAGAGCTGCTTTGCCACATAGAATTTTAGCAGCACCATCAGTCACTTTATCACATCTATTTATCTCTAAAGTCATATCTATTTCTCTCCCTACTACCATCCCCTCATACCTTTTACAAAGACCAATTGCTTACCCTGCTCTTGAACTGGGTGAAATTTAATTTTGGTCTAGAGAGGTTTTTTTTTTCTGCATAGATAAGTTGTGATAAATTGATAAATTAAGAGAATCTACCTTTCAAGGTTATCTAATTTGGATCTTTCTTTGGTTTTATTCCTGGATAAATGATTTTCATACCACTTGACAGATTAAGTATAAATTGTGTTGGACTGATGAATGATACATTTTAATTTAGACTGAGTAAGACCCTTCCTGATCCCTAGGGAATTGTGGTCAAGCAGTGAGACTTGCAGAATTATGATTCTGACAAATTTGAGAAGGTAATGTGCATCTTTGAATACTTAGAGTTTCTGGAGACAACACACAAGTAAAGTTTTGAATAGTTTGAAACCTTAGGGTCAAAGGATCATAGATTAAGAGCTCACAGGAACCTGAAAGGCTGATGCTTCCATTTTACAGAAGAGGAACCTTCAGCTCAGAGAGTTTGTGATTTGCCCGGTGCAGCAGAGACAAGATTCCGAATCAAGTCCTGCAATACCATACACAGCACTCCATCTTTCTTTATGCCCAGATCCTGGTAGCTAGGTGGCACAGTGGATAGATTGCTGGGCCTGAAGTCAGGGAGAAGGAGGCTCAAATTCAAATGTAGCCTCAAATACATACTAGCTGTGTGACCCTGAACAAGTTACTTAACTGCTGGCTGCCTCAGTTTCCTCAACTGTAAAATGGGAACAATATTAACAACACCAAATTCCCAGGGTTATCATGAGGATCAGATGAGATAACATTTATAGAAGTGTACAGTTCCTGGCACATAGCTGGTGCTTAAGAAATGCTTCTTCTTTTCCCTTCCTTTACCCCCTGCTCTGTTATATGCATTCACAGTTTTCTTTTGAGACAGGAAAGACCTTGACTAGAAACACTTTGGTTAATATTTGAATCTGGAGAAAGAGTTGATTTAATCAGAAGGGTTGAGGGTGATCGAGTAAAGAGGTATGGGAGAAAATTGATATTTGAATATTTGAAAATTGATTAACATGTTACTGAATTTTAAGCCGGTAAGAGATGATGCATTTTTACTTGAAGGAACTGAAATATAAGACTAATTATTATTATATATTTAATGAATGTTATATGTTTAATATTTATATCTAATATATATTTAATATAGATTATATTATATGCTTTCTATATAATTAACCAATTTTTATCACTGAATTAAACCTATTTTGGGGCTATAGTCTCAGGTAACATATTTCAAATATAATACAATATATTTTGTATCTTGACTGCTTTTTGCTGTTTGTGGTCATAGGATTTCAATATTTTACCCCCAGACTAACGTCAAGTACTTTGGAGTAGAGGTGTCAAATGACCACTCTCCAGTGCTGCCTGAACCAAATTAAATGTAACTGGGAAATATTTATGTATTTTGGGGTTTTTTATTTTGTTTTTAGGCAATTGGGGTTAAGCGACTTGCCCAGGGTCACACAGCTGGTAAGTGTCAGTGTTTGGTTTGAGGCCGGATTTGAACTCAAGTCCTCCTGACTTCAGGGCCAGTGCTCTATCCACTGTGCCACCTAGCTGCCCCGGAAATGTTTAACAAAATAAATAAAAATACAATAAAACATAGATAGCATTACATTTTCAAACCAATCTGCACCCACAGGGATTAGTGACCCTCATTTGTATTTGAGCGTGACACCAATGCTCTCAACTTCTTAGACATTGATTTCCCCCTATCATCTGAGTCATCAAACAGCAGCGCCTGCTGTATTTGACAGGGAATCTGAACTGAGGTGGCAGATTCAAGGCTTCTTGGCCCTATATAATAACTAGGAATTGCTCAGCACAAAGCATGAATGATAGAGATAACAGAAGAGAATACCTGAGCTAGCCATTATTGGCTATCATTTTGTGTTTATATTATCCATATTTGGCACTTGTAACTTTATTTTTCTCAAAGTTGCAAAGCTGTGGCAAGATGATTAAAAATAAGGATAGTATGCAATGTTCATTATGCAAGTTTTTCCCAGCATGCATTATGGGAAGACTGTTCCTGGCCATGGCATAAAATCCTGGTTCTGACACTTATTAACTGATTGACTTTGGGCAAGTGAGTAACCAACCTGAACCTTAATTTCCTCATCTGTAAAATCAAGAATGATATGTATGCCATTTACTTAATAGGGTTGTTGTGAAGAAAGTGCCTTGTGAGCCACAATGCTCTTAATTATTACTAACAATATTAATTATTATTACTTCAGAGATTCCTGGTTTCATTAGAATATGTACTCCTTCCACCAATGCACTTCACACACAATCCCCTTTATACCTTAGGGAACTATCTTCATGATGGCTAGAAATTCCTTACCAAGTGGTCAACCTTGTGTTGTTATTAAGCAACAGCAGTTAATCAGCATGTATCGTATGACACCAAGCTATACATGTGCTGCCAGATTAACTTGGTGCTATTTTAGCTGCAACCATAGTACCCCTCTCAGTAAATAGAATCAGAGAATTTGCAGAAGAAAATTAAGACTAGGCAAATGTTCATGTGTTTTACCCAAGATGGTAGCGCTGTCCAAAGTAAAGCATTAAGCCAGCCTTCCAGCATTAACTTATAACCTTCACTCTTAGCTTACCTCTTCCTCAGTCATTTCACACTTATTTAGTGCCTTCTGTGTGCCAGGCATTCTGCCAAGCCCTGAGGGATACAAAGAAAGGCAAAAGACAGTCCCTGCCCTCATGGAGCTTACAATCTTGTGGGGGAGAAAACATGTAAACAACTATATACAAACAGGCTACGGACAGGATAAATTGAAGATAATTGGCAGAGGATTTGAGAAAGGCAGAAGATGGGATTTTAGCTGGGATTTGAAGGAAGCCATGGGGTACAATGGGAGGGAGGAGAGAGAGAATTCCAGCAGGACTCAACATCAAGTAAAAATACCCTCAGTTGGGATAGAGTATCTTGTTCAAGAAATGGCAAGGAGGTCAGCGTCATTAGATCTGAGAGTAAGTGAGGGTGGGAGGCATAATAAGACTAGAAAGATGAGGGGGTGGGAAGAGTTCTTTTTCTGACTGTCTGAAGAACTGGGACATGGTTTTCTGAAGACATAAGCTCCCAGAGAGATGGGTAAGGTGTGAAGGAAGAATGAGTCACTCCCTTTAATACTTGAAGCCAATTACAGAGTACTCAGACCAATCTTGGCTTTCCTAACCTCTTGAACTATAAAAGCAAAGGTCAAAATGTGTCATCAGGGCAACCTGTTGTACAGACACTGATTATCACACCTTAATTGGGCAGTACTTTTCATACGCTGTAAACAAAGGCCCTTGATTAAAGCTTAGAGCAGGCTGGACATGTAGAAATTGCTTTTATTGAGGAATAAGACTATAAACACAAGCTGCCAGTGGAGAGAAGAAAAAAAAAAACCTATTTCTAATTGAGTCTCCAGGAAATTCTCTGTAAAGTAGGAAAAAACATGATGATACATACTCATGAGCCAACATCCTTACATCATTGAACTCAACTTTTCTTAGCTATTCTTATGAAAGGCCAGGACATTACTTTCAATAGCACAAATCTTTCTCTAGTTTTCCTTTCTCAACGTCTTGTTTTACTGACACAACCTTATTTGGCTTAATTCCTAACAAGGCCACCATTGAATCACTGGGCCCAAAATGAAAGTACGGATTCCCCATTTGGGGAACAAAGGAAAAAAAGCACAATTCCTTTCTCTGGATTTTCTTTCTTCCTCAAAACAGACTTGTAGTTTAGAACAAGGAGTACACTCCAGGGTTTCCCTCGCTTTTTTTATTTGACTTATTCCTCATAATAAAGGATGTTTTCTTTATGTTGAGAACAACACATACACATTTGCAAAAATCTCTCACCCACTGTAAGAATATTAGTGAAATTCTGACACTTCAGAATAATATACCACCAGCTCTCTGTGTGAAGCAGCTAATGAGAAACTGCTTCCTTGGACTAAAAGAGCTGTAGAAAGCAGTTTCACTACCTGTTTCTAAGGGTGAAAACTACCTGTGCCCTCTCCC